TTTTGTTTGGGATATTTTTAAAGGGTTTTAAGTTTTCATGCTAAAGAGGGGATCTTAAAATAGCAAATCTGGCCCGCACATTTTCAGTTTTCAATGTTCAAGACTCCAGATCTACTAGAGCAGGATCAAAAAAAACCCCTCTAATCTAGACTACTCCACTTTTCTACATGGTCTGCAATTAATGTGATTATTTTAAAGAGTGAAAATTTTTCCTCTTTTTCTTCCCTCCTTCAAGAAAGTGCAATGCAATCTATTAGTGGCAAACCTGACCATGAGCGTGACAGTTACCCACTTTAACAAGGGGATTTATATATTCTTCTTACRTGTTAAGAGCATTCTCACAAAATTGTTTGGATCGCTCCATGATTACAGCTCTCTTACAATCTCAATTGCTGCAATGCTAACCCTATAATTTTTAAAACATACCAAAGGCAAGATCATTTRTGTATTTCAAGAGTTTAATCAGCTGTGAGGAAAAAGCTGTTCAGAGACTTAAGCTGCTACTGACTTGTGATAGGAGGAATCCTCTGGATTCAGAAATTTTATTAGAGAAACRAAATGAGAAGCCCCTTCTATAGCCACAGGAAAATGCACACAATCTTTAGACAGGTTTTCTGATATTTCACCCATGAAGAGGATTTCTTCATTGACTAAACCTGGTTTTAATCTTAAAGCAATGGATCAAAATGTGAATATGTGCTCCAGATGTCAAGCACTTCCATGCTTCAAACACAGCAGCCTTGTGGAGCAGCAGCATGTGCAATGGCTCCAGTCAAGCCAAGGAAATCHTCTTGACTTTAATTTGTTGATGACCTTAATAAAGTCAACAGCATCTGTAGCTTTTCTAACCTGAAATAACTGGTGTATGACTCTAGTCTCCCATGATTCTCATACAATGCAGTCATCAATGCCAGCTGGGAAAGAAGCCCTTATCCAGAACTTCCACAAAGAGGTTTGGGAGACATTATTATCTTCCTTTTTATCAGAATGCTTCTGATGTTTGTACAACATGTTAATGAAGAATGTTTTTTGTAAATTACCCTGTCGAGGAKTGTTACTAAGAAAGGATTTTTGTTTGATGAATGAACAAGACATGAAATCAAACACTTTTATGTCTAAGCAACCTGAAGATGATGAACAAAAGTAGAGAAAATTCAGCTGGAGTGAAATTCAAGGATCCATCAGCTATCCCTCTAATCTAATAACTATTTTTAAGACCTTCACAGATGGAGGTTTTACTGACTCAATCAATCTCTCTCTATGTGATGTATATTTAGGTTTTCTTTTTTATTTTTAAATTTTCATCCTGAATTCTGTGCTGTAGTTTTGATTTTTGTCTGGCCTGCAGTGGATCTAAAGAAGAAATTAGACCTTTCTTTTTTAAATCAGTCTTTTTGTGTCCTCAAGTCTGCTTTTTCTGGATTTAGCAACCTGATTCACTCGGTGGTTTTGCTTGGCTCTACCCTTTATGTCAGCTCTTTGCTGTGTGTCTCTCTTGAAGCACCGTGCCCTGGAGTGGGGTAGCCCAAAGGAAGGATTACAGCAGAGGTACACAAGCCTGGTGTTGATCCAGTGGTGGTGGTGGCTGTTTTTCTCATGGTAGAGCAATKTTATGATGTTCTGGGGAGCTTTGCACATGTGCTGCTGTGAGGGTTGATGTTTTGAAGGCTCACTACACCATAGCCCTGCACTCCTCCTTCATTGGAACTAACATCAGGCTTTTTTTTCTCCGGATATGTTTCCAATTCATGAAGGTAATTTTGAATTCTAATCCTAGCCTCTGCAAAGGCCTTTATCACAGTRGGCATCCCATTAATAACCATGGAAGTTTTCATTCTGCAAGTTAACACTGACTGAGAGAGGCTGTGGTGATTTAAGTTGTCTATTGTTACAGCTCCTTAATGTCCAGGAATGAGATCTTTTCGCTTTTGGCTGAATGGCAACTCCCACAAATAGATTAATAGAAATTTTGGCTTTATTTCTTTGTCTATGGCCTTTCAGACTTACCCCTATTTTCAGCATTTGCATCTTTAAAGTTATCTTTGCAGTCTGGTTTAATTGYCCATTTGAAGAGTCTAAAATTGCTTAACTGCTAAGCATTGCTTTTTAATGTGGCAGAAGGGATTTTAGCTGTCTATTTGTGCTGTGCTCCTGTGGTGGGGAAACACCCTTCTAACACAGTCTCTGTCCTTCCATAGCTATTTCTTCTGTGGGAATCCTAAGAAAGTTTGTGTATCAAATCCTTGTCCTATTCCTATCCATATCAGTATAATACAGGAATATATAATTCTTTTCAAGAGAGTCTTCTTCTGATTTTATACCAGAGAAAATGGGAACAAGTCTAGTSCCTTAGTTTTCTTCATGTGAGAAATATGTTTTCTGAAATGGAAAAAAAAAAAACAAACCTGAAGGTGAAATCAGTGATTTCAAGGACAAAAATGATGTGTTGCCTTTTATTATTTTACTGTCTTCCAAAAAGATGTTTCCTTCCAATTCCTGTACTCAGCAAAGCATCCCCATAAAAATAGTTTCATCATATCTCTGTCACACAGTTTGAAGGAAATTTGTTTCAAAAAAAA